TAATGCAAGGTATACAGTAATTGCGTACCAACACATGACAGTCAGTAGACGTGCGATATCAAGTATGGACATAATCGTAAAAGTTTATAAACGGTATAACTTCAGCTGTCGATTTTGAGTAGGATAGTCTTCTGCCTGGAAGATCTATGCTACCGCCTAGAGTACCTGACAATTTTGACTTGAGTCACATTGGCCTGCGGAAAGCCCAACTTCCAAACTCTCAACTACCATTCGGAAGTTTTAAGGTTGGGGACTCGAACTTCGCTCCAATTTGGAGTGCGGTAGAACTTGAAGACGATATAAGCTTCTTGGGAAGCATTCTAAGCTGATAGTTAACTGACGCTTGCGTTTTCCCACAATGAACTTCATTTATGGATACGAAGAGAAACTTAGCCTCGCCTAAGTTTCATCAGCATTCCCAACGAGATTATATACCGTGTCATGAGCATCGTGGCGATGATACTATTCGACTTTCAGTTGGCCAGTGGGCAGATGTAACAGATGAAATCACATTTACAATACTATTGGTGCGAATTAACCTTGTATTTGCAATAGATTAAGTTACTTATTTTCGGTGTAGGTAGGTTTCGAGACAATTAGTAATTCTTGGATGAGAACTCAATCACCCTAGAACGATTAAGATGTTGTAGGGACTACTAATTGGGTTTGCTTACTAAACAATTACTGATAGCCTCAAAACCTCCACACACTAAAAATGAGTAACGTTTTAGTTTCTAATCCCAATATGATTTGAAGGAGTCCTGGCTTGTCTTGACAGTCACGTCTGACCTTTGACCCACTGATACCAGTGGCCATAGAACAAATGATTAATGTCGCCACGCTGTTCACGACGCTGGTTCGAATCCCGTTAGGGGTACTGATGAAACCGAAGTTGATCGAAACTGCAGTCCGTCCTGGATGAGAGGCAACGGCAATCATATGATTGTGGGAATACCCAACTACCAGTCATCTACTCATATTGAAAGTATGAATTTTTAATGTAAAAGTGCCGTTAATTCGGTCTGAAACCAGTTAATAATGATAATACATGACAGCTGCGAAGCAAACTGGTACTGCCGGTCAGATCAATTTGAGCAAAACGGCCTTGCAGAACCAAAGATTCCCAGCAGCGAAAATAGCAGAAACGAAGCACCATACTTGAAGACGTTCTTGCTCAAAGCGACAAAGCAAGATTGACTTAATAATGTCTTCCCGTTCCGATCAGATAGCCTATTCCTTAAGTTCACAGATCAACTTTGCCTTGGCCAAATCATTTGACCATTTTTGGTAGTTCAGACATTTGAAGAGAAGAAATGTTTAAATTTATTGTTCCCTCTTGAGATAAGCGAAAGAAGGCATTAAAGATAGATGAGATAATCTGTTGAAAATATGTGCCCAAAAATGAGAAATTCGTAAAAGGGTAAGTTATTCAAGTGTAGGGAGCCTCACACCATGATCTGCAAGGAGCACCAGGAAAGATCCACTTGAGATCGTAAAGCGTGCAAGTGATGTTTGTCTGCCTCCATGGCAGTTAAATCGTCAAATCAGAGGCGACATTCGATACGAGATACCTTGAAAGCAAACCTGTTTAACATTTGATAGCACAATCAGGACTGGACTTTTTAAAGCGTGATAAGATGGTTGCAAATGGCAATAAGGCCTTAGTTATACGGGACCAGAGTGAAAGATCGATCAAAATTGGGGTCCCGGTTGGCCTGTACCATCTTACCGTCAATGGATGGCCTGCCAAGCCCTAATGAGTGGCTTAAGTCACACAAAAAAGCACAATAAATTGGGCAATTAAATAGACCTATGAAATGCGAAACTTTATTGTTGCTGAAACGTGCTGTAAAGAAAAAATCGCGAAAGTTGCAAATGGCTAATTGTAAGTCTACACACTGAGCACACGGCTGTTCTTTTGACAATTATACACACACACATACATACATACATACATACATACACAAACGCATCACAACAGTACTTGCAGTTCCCGAATCCACAGATAAGAGAGCACACTGGGACAATGGTGACTGGTTTGTAGGACAAAGTGAGCTTGAGGCTGAGGTGCGAAAGTGGACAAAGTTGTATAGAGAGTGAATGTGTAGAGGACGTCAAAAGTATCACTATCATGCAGATTAGAACTACCAGCCGAGCCGGGATGGGGCGTTTGACGTGAGCAAGACAGAACTAGGCTTCTGAGAGTTGTCAGCTGCTGATGCAGTTGCCGTGGCGACAGGTTCCGGCTTCTCGGTGAGACGGTTGTGGTAAAAGGGTGCTAAAAGGGTATCTGAGCAATATTGTCGCCGAGGGAATCGAGCGCCTGAGACGAGGCTGTCTCCCGTTCCGCCCCTTTGCAGACA